AGGTAGCACTAGAAATGTGTACTTTTAATTAATCTCACAGGTAAGTTTCAGATCAGATGTTATTTGCATGTTGCCTGAACATTTGCCCATGCATTTCTGATCATAAAGCTTTTTTGTGGCAGCAGGCTGCCTTTTTCCATTTCTCTCCAGTGATATTATTATTTTGGCAGCCTGGGTAAGTTGAAACAGCGGTTACAGGATACAGTTTTGGAAATTTCATTCACACTAGCATATGTTTATGTGAATCTCTGAGACTTCTTTTAAAGTGTCGCAACAATAACAGAGTGATGGGAATGAAGTGCTTTTGTGACAAATGCAATCTTCTTACCAAAAAACATATCTGGCAGTGTAATAAGGAGTTTAACTTGATACAAAATTCTTATGAGGCAACTGTGATGCCCTTTTCTTTTTCTTTTTTTTAAAAAAGCATTATTTCTCCTTCTTCGTTGCTTCAAATGCAAGTCCTTTAAAACATTATCTTTGCATAACTCAGACTCAGGGCTATTGGAATAAATCAAGAATTTGTGCACTTGATACTTAGTTTATGGCTGTGTGGGTTCAACATTGGGTGTAGTGGATATTCCTGCAGTCTATAAACCACTGTATATGTAGGGACTTTAGTTTGGTGGTAACATAAATCTGAGGCATGTATCAGGGTCCTTGGTTAAAGCCTTGGCTCAAATAGCAGAGATAGGGTGTCCATCTGAGGTAAGATGGGAAAGATTTTATTGGTTAGTGCAAGTGTCTAAAGTAAAAGGGTAGTTGGACCACTATGGAATATACCTAAACATGTTTTACTCTAAAGTAAGCCCTTTAGTGGGTCATACTCCTGGGTAAGGATGCACAATATGGCAGCCTGATTCTGACCCAGTTTAACACCATTCTCCCTTATTTCTTCTTGTTGTTTTTTAAAGAGATAATGTTACAGAAGACGAAAGGATTCTATGGGGTATCATCGATTGAGGGGGGTGTAAATTTGCTTGGCTCTCTCGCATTCCTTGCATTCGTTATGAAATGGGCTGACATTTTATGCTGACATTTTATGTTTTATCCCCAATGGATTAAAGATCACAGCTTTCGCATCAAATTCCTCAAAGAAGTTCAGTCTCCCTGGCAGGAAGACAATTGGGGGAACTTTCCAAGCTTGCACAAATAAACAGACAGGAATAAAGCAACAATTGCTTCTTCCTCCCCCCCTCTCCCTATATGGACCTGCTCTTGTTCATTTCTCTTTTCAAGATAACACTTGCTGACACACTGTCAGATAACTGCGATCAGCGTTCCACAGACTAACCATTCAGAGATGCATTTGCACTCTGTATATTTTCCTTTATCTGGTCGTCTGCTGGTGCATTTTGTCTTGGCTAAAATTGTCATTGATTCTCCAAGAAAAAACAACAGTTGTTGGGAGAGAGCGAGAGAGCCGGGGGGGGGGGGGTTGCAGTGCCATTTTTGAATGTCTCTGGAAATCACAAAGCATGCGATGACATGACAGAAGCAAGCAAGATTCTGATGAGAACAGTTGTTTGCATAAAATTTTTTAACTGTTACCAGCACTTCAATAAAGTTAGAAGGAGAAACAGATAGATAAAGCCCCAGGTTAATTTCCATCATTACCTAGCACTTTATACCCACTGAAGAATTCCAAACATATAAAGGAGTGTCAATCTTTTTTCATGAAACAGGAGGTTAAAAAAAACAAAACCCTGAGAAGAGCTTCAAAGGCTGTCAGTAGGGAAGTCAGTCAATTACAGATCTGATTCACTTCTTAACCCCTTGAGGTATAAGGAAGCCTTTCCTGCAATAGCAATCATTTTCAGCATTCATTTGGATGAAAGGGCTGAAGTTTGCAACCTGATATCACAGTTATATATACTGGTGCACAAGGTAATGAAAGGAGTTGTAAAATGAGAACAGGATATAATCAAGTATGTAAATTGATGAGAAACCTAAGGGAACATATTTTCATTTCTGGCTGCTATAGGCCATCTCAGGTGGCAGCTTCTGCTTGATAAACTTGTAGCCAATTAAGTTCCTTTTCCTACTAATCTTTATAAGGCTCCAGTTTGTGAAATAATCTGTCTTATGGCCATATATTTCCCTTCTTGGTATGTCAAAGATTTGTTAAAACCTAGGGAATTTCTCAAGGCACAGCAAAGCAGAGGATTGTTACCAGGCTGAATCTTCTAAGAACTTAAATGGAATGTCAAAACAAAAAAAAAAATTCCTTCCAGTAGCACCTTAAAGACCAACTAAGTTAGTTCTTGGTATGAGCTTTCGTGTGCATGCACACTTCTCTCGTACAGAATCCTTTAAAGATGACCATGTGTCTTTTTATAAAAGTAGTAGAAGAGATCCCAATAAGACAGTGCCAATTTGAAATATATATACATATATTATACTTGCTTGAACATTTGCTTGCTCCAGTACTGAATCTGAGTGTACATATAAAGCAGTAGAAACAAGGGACAAAAACTACATGTAGGGGAAAACATGAATATTGTAACTCATGACAAATCAATCAGTTTGAAGCTGGACAGTAAAGTATAAACTTCGATTCTTGAAGAGGTCTCTGAGCGGTGGACATACTTATCATTTATGAAGAGTTTAAGACTGATGAAAGAAGCTAAAGGCAGGTACAATATGTATTTCAGGTGACTGCATTCAGACCCACTGCTTTGAAATTATTCTAAAAAATGCTAATGAGCAGTCACTGAAAGACACATTTCCTTACCTGCAAAACTCTGGGCATTTGGTAGAGTTCAGAAGAGCGGAAGGAAATCAGTGCATATTACTACTATTCCCCCCCTCCAGATCTCCTTTTGAAATGCCTTTCATCTCCTTTTCATATCTCCAAGAGTGAGTCATCTAATTTCACCTCACTTTATTGCCAAACTCCAAAGGGATCATCTTTAATCCCCAACGTTATTTGGGCCACAATTCCATCCAAAGAAGGAAACTCCCTCGGTCTTTCTTCATAAACTTCAATGTTCTTAACTTAAGATTTGTTTTTACGACGCGAGTAACCAAGTGTATTTATTACTTGCTGTCAAGGTAAATTTCTTGCACTCTTGCATGAAAAGCTCCCTTTTCATTGCCATTTGGTCCCCACAAGTAAGAGAGAGTAAAAGGTTGTCTCCTGATTCTTTCTCTCCGTGAGCAAGGAAGGGAGATGCATAAGACTGCAGATGAATGTTGAAAATCCAGACCACTACCCTTTACGCAATTACAGAATCTTAAATCCCATTGAGTTATGAACTACAGTTGTGCGCAGGAGTGCAGTTTAAGAAATTGCAAACATATGCAAACCTGACTGCTTCTGGGCTGCCCCCCCCCTAAAAAATCTAGAAAGGAAACACAGTTTCTAAGAGTGAAGAGTCTTCAGACGTTTTGAAGGGTTTTCTTGTTATTGCACATCACTGCAAAGCTTACTTGTTTTTCAACATTGGTTCTTAGCAGGCTGGCCTGCCTACTGATAAGATCCCCTAAAAATGCCCTAGAAAGATTTCACCCTGCAAAACAGAACTTTCCTACTGGCTTCTTTACTATAGAAACAGCAAGGCACACTAGTTTTCTCATGTGTTACAAAACAGCAGATGCCTTAGCAAAAATCACACCACGGTCCAGATGTAAAAGATACCTATACTTGGGGATATAGGATGTTAACATATCAAATCTGCAGTATACTCATGCTGTATATTAAACCCTTTGCATGTTTACTTCCTCTGTGTTTGATGGAGGTTATTTTCAGGAAAGTATGTATATAGGATTGCAGCCTGCAGTAACTATCATTTATCTTAAATTCCAGCTGCAGAGAGAGGGGAGAATACTTCTGTAAACTTCCTCATTCTGCATACTTCCTTATTAATTGTGGTCATGTCTTTATACTTTCTCTTTGAAGGTGGATACGCTTTGCCCTTCCAGACCAATTCTCTTGAAGATTTTGGACTTCAGCAGGAATTACTGGATCATATTATGTATGCAAGGACTTACTGTAATAGATTGACATTCGTGCAATGTATTTATTTCAGAGCAGGTCTGTGGACCGATTTGGTTTCTATGCTGTGAGTCAGACATATCCCACGTTGCACTGAAGGTGTTACCGATTCTCCTGGCACCCACTCACAAGGAACTATCCATGGTAGGTTTTTGGATTTACTGTATAATCTGCATGTATCATTGAAAAATGCTTGTTTCACATTTCCCACAGTACGTGCTTTGTCTGAGACATTGCTAAGAATACATCTGATTTCCCATTTTAGCTGCAAAACGAATGACTGCTATATAGCTGCTGGGCTGTTGTATGTTTCGGATCATTTTTATACCTCAGTTTTGTTCCTGTACAACCATGTCTAACAGCAATGAGTCAGGGGCTCACTCTTCGAAACACTGTTGGCATTTCTATTAAATATATGTTGATCTAAGGGGTCTGCATTTATCTGACAGGCCTGCTTGTAATGAGGCCTGTAGGTTCCTTGTTTACCAAGCTTCAAAGAAACAAAAGGTGACCTTATTATACATATTGCTTTCCTGTAAAAATATCAACAGTTTGTTCTGCTCAAGGGAAATCACCCTTAACAAGGTCCAAGGACAGAGGCAGACACTTCTGGCAGTTTCACTTTCAGGAATCAACCACCAGCACTTACTTTAAAAACATCCTGGTTAGGGAGAGAGAAACATACTGTTTTATTTTTATTTTTATGTTTTAAGGAGGAAAGTATTTTTTAAAAATGTGACTGGAATGAAGAGGTTGCAATTGCAACACTACCTGATACAATCTCCCTTGCCATTGTGCATCAGGATAATAGCTGGCTGCATCACTATTAGAATAATAGCCACTTAAACAATTGCAACTGGGCATATAAGTAACAAAAGCATTAGACACTTGGCGTAGCACTCTTAAGAGGCTGATAACAGTAAAGCATCATTTATTGCACAATCTGATAATGAGCAAGGAGTAGAGGTATTTCCATGACTTTAGAAGAATTCAGACTTCCTACCTTTCTTTGCAAGATAGCTGGAAGGTATGTCCCTCTTTAAAGAAAGTTGTAAGTAAAACCAGGTAGCAGTTGCAGTAAATTGAGTCCTTTTCAGTCAGTGTGTACAAGCAGCAGTTCTGCTGGAAGGGGGAGAAATAGAATGGGAGGAGCAGCTGTGAACGAGTGACCTCCTGAAGCGGAGTTCTCTTTGTGCATCGAGCACTTGGGAGCCAGTGGCTCTGATTTGCATGGATTATCTCCACTTGAACAGATACATTTAAATTTATCTGGCACAGTGGCAAAAGATGGAAGAGTAAGTGAGTGCGAGAGACAAGAGAGAGAGAGAGAGGGAGAGAGAAAGAAAGGGAAAAAAGCAGACAAGTGATCGGAAAGCTTGGCTGGGGAAGCTAGTTCAGGCTGAACTAGGCATGTGTCTGAAGAACCACAGCTCCCTCTTCATGTCATACTCATAAGAGGAGAATTGCTGTCATAAAGGACTGCTTAAATGCAAGGAGGAGGGAAGAAAACGAGACGTTCTCTTCCATTAGGTTAGTTTTTTTTTAAAATGAAGATTTAAAAGTAAGAGTTACTGTTAGTAATCACAATAATGCAACTGCTGTTTAGCCTTAATATGAAACTTCAGAGTGTTCATCAAAGTGTTCCACATATATTATCTTGGTCGTCCTTGCAACAGCCCCGTATAGGATGCTTTTATTATTCCTGGATCACGAGGGGATTGCTTGTGCTGAGAGACAGCAGCTGGCCTAGAGCCTGGTACTCAGCGGCAAGCAGGGCAATGTTATAAGGTGTATGCAGAAGTAAGTCCTTCGGAGTTCAGTGATACTTACTCCCAGTTTAGAATTTAGGATTGCAGATGTGCAGTGCAATTCTTTGCATGTTTGCTAAAAAGTAAAACTCCATGGGACGCGGGTGGCACTGTGGGTTAAACCACAGAGCCTAGGGCTTGCTGATTAGAAGGTCAGCGGTTCGAATCCCCACGACGGGGTGAGCTCCCGTTGCTCGGTCCCTGCTCCTGCCAACCTAGCAATTCGAAAGCATGTCAAAGTGCAAGTAGATAAATAGGTACCGCTCCGGCGGGAAGGTAAAGGGCGTTTCCGTGCGCTGCTCTGGTTTGCCAGAAGCGGCTTTGTCATGCTGGCCACATAACCCAGAAGCTGTACGCCGGCTCTCTTGGCCAATAAAGCGAGATGAGCGCCGCAACCCCAGAGTCGGCCACAACTGGACCTAATGGTCAGGGGTCCCTTTACCTTTACCTTTACCTTTAAGACTCCAGTACATAGAAGCCAGATCCTAGGGGCTTAGGTCCCTTTGCCCCCCCCCAATAAAATATTTAAGGGGGATGGGATCCCCAAGGTTGATGGGCATTGCTATTCAAATGGTGTGTGAGTGCACACTACATCTTTTGAGTGATTATTTATTCAAATTGGCACCCCTGATCAGTGGCACTTACTCCCAAGTATGTGAGCAGAGGATTGCAGTCTCCATCAAAGAGCACAACAAAAGTAAGGGCAGGATGATAACATGTGTTCTTAAACCCCTCAGAACACCAGGAATATGCACCAATCAGAAGGGCATCAGGAGACACCTTGCTGAAGTGAAGCAGGTCTGCACCTGGTCAGTGTCTGGATGGAAGAACCTCCATATATATATATATATATATATATATATATATATGCTTTCGTAGATTTTCACGGGTACAGGAATGCAGGTTTTGGTGTCCTCGGGTGTCTTCCCGTGTAAAAGTTGGGGTGTCTAGGCGACACGTCGCCTAGACACCCCAACTTTTACACGGGAAGACACCCGAGGACACCAAAACCTGCATATATATATATATATATATATCACCACATTGGATGAAAAGTGGGATATATATATATATACTCAATCAATCAATCAATCAATCAATCAATCAATCAATCTCAATGCAGATCCTACCACTGCACAGGCTATTACAAGGCACCCCATACAGGTAACTGAGTGGAGGATCCACCAGGGAAGGAAAGTCACTGCCTCAACACAATCATCTCTCCCCACGCCTGCCCTTAAGCCCTCCAAGATGTACAGCACACTCAAACCCAATAGCTAAAACACGAATCCCTCTTCCTCCTAAGAGATGTAGACACTGTGTCTTGGATGAACAACATTGCACACCAGGTTGTATCAAGGTCACCTGCCAACAGGATTAAGGGAAAGATGTATACTGCATGTGGTGAAGGTTGCAAAGCCCTAAGCTGCCCTCTTCTGTGCCAAACCATCTACCTCAGCCCTGTCTTTGCTGACTGGCCACAGGTCAGCAAAGACCCTCAAGATGCTGGTGGTGAACCTGGGATTTCACCATGCAAAACATGTGCTCTGCCAATACACGATGGCTTTTCCTCAAAGGATATGGGAAGCAGGGCCACCTTTTCTGGGAAGGAAAAAGTGTTCCATAACATGCCATGTTAGTCATGGGAAAACACATAGGCAGACATGGTGCATTCTCTCTGTAGGTTCAAAGACAGGAGAAATATTGGCAGAAGAAATTTTAGCAGATGACAGACATTTCTTACCATGGATGTGTGAGAGTTATCAATGTCAACATAAGTCATACCTGCACTATCCATTCAAAGCTAAATCATGCCACTTTAAACAGTCAAATTCTGGGAGCTATTGTTTGTTAAGTATGCATAAAGTTGTTAGGAGACCCTGATCTCCTTCACAGAGCTAGAGTTCCCAGAGTGGTATAGCAATTGTCTGTTTTCACAGGGAATGCTGGGAATTGTCACTCTGTGGGAGGGGGAATAGGGGTTTCTTAACAACTCACAGCATATTTAGTGAACTACAGAATGCTTCAGGGGGAGCCAGGTCTGTTTAAAGTGGTATCAAAGTGCTTTAAATATATGGTGTGAATGTAGCCACTCAGCAGATGAAACCCCTGTCATAGATGCTATTGTAATGACTCAGTCAATGCACTTTGGAAATGGAGGCACTTTTCTCAACGACGATTCTCAATGGCCACTCACTCCCAGGCTGCAATCTATTTTACTTTAGTATCCTTGTGTTTCTCTGTTTTCTCTCCATAGGCAAAGAGGCAGCCATCCAACAGGATGCCATGGCAGCAGAAAACTAAAAATCTAATATAGTTAACCCACCACATGATCACGAGAGAGGACACTCAGAAGTCTGGGAGGCTAAATGTCACCCAAGCACTAAGGAGGAAACAAATTAAATCAACACTTGAGTGAAGCCACACAACCCAAACTGCCTCCTGAGATCCACACAAATGCTGGTCCACCTCAGAAGGCGAGGCTTCACTCATCCAGCAGTATGTGCTCTAGAACTCAGCACAACTGGGGTTACAAGCATGCTTTTGCATATACATCTGTATGTTTGTGTCTTCCCTCATAGGAAAAGCACCAGCATGGCAGATATTCTCCCATTGCATGTTATCCCATAAGTTCAAAAAAGAGAAAACAACAAGCGCTCATTTTTTCCTCCCTTTTCAGTACTTTATTTCAGACATATGAATCTGCTCAAGCATATGAATGTCCCAATAAAAATTTGAATTCCTTGTGATTATGTGAACTCAGCTGTAATTATAAAGCAACTGCAGCGTCTGTATAACCATCAGAAACATTTAACAACCCCTTTTAAATGTTTATTTGCTGCTTCTCCTCTACAAGTAGAGTTCAGCTTTTCCCTGTAAAGAGCCATGTTGACTGATAGTGGGGAACCAAAGGATCATGCAGTATTTACAGGGGCGGGGAGTTTATTTGTGTATGACCTAATGCCTTCGATGATGCATCTATCTGCACCAGAAAAAGCTATGAGTACTTATACATAACTCAGCCATGAATAAATGCTTCTTAGAAATAATCACATTTTACAGTAAAACCTCACATCAGATAAATGACCAATTAAGACACTGAGGAAAGTGGGGAATATATTTAAATTCCATAATAATTGCTCCGTGACTCAATAATTAGTAGCTGTCCATGTGCTATAAACAACGGCTGACTAATAAAGATGCATTTAGTTTTCTTAAAGAGGAGAGGGTGAGGGTGAAAGCAGATGCCCACTATCCACGTGGGAAACACTTTACAGCCTGGTTGCATTTTCTCTAACTGGATGAAGAAGCAATTGTTTGTACCCTGCAGCCATGATCCCTTAATCACATAGATCCAATTGATACCTTAACACCGAATGATACAGTAGACCAAGAAGCTAAAAATCAGAACTAGAGTGCTTTATCTTGCAAGTGTGTATGTGTCTTCATATGGGTTGCTTTAAAAAATACCCCACCCACCCATTGGAAAATAGTACACATAATGTCCTTTGTGCAGCAAAGCAGAACGTTTGGGGGTAGAGATCTAACACAACTATATCTTTAATGTGCTAGTTCAGCACACAAAGAGCTTTTTACATGGGGAAGCATGGAGGCAGAATGATCCTCCTAAAGGCATGATGCAGCCCACCAGCCTATGCACTTTTGTATAATGTGCAGAAGCTTTATCTCATAGAATCGTAGAGTTCGTTTGGACCCTGAGGATCATCTAGTCCAGGCATGTCCAACAGGTAGCTCATGACCTACCAGTAGATCACTGGATGTCTGTGGTAGATCACTGGTAGATCATTGGCTCCCCCCAAAGAAGCTCAACAAGATTGGCTTCCCTAAAAAAAGCTCAACATGTTTGCCTTGCACCCCAAAGAAAAAGCTCAACAACTTTGACCTGAACCCCCCCAAAGGGGTAGATCACTGCCAGTCTTTAACAGATCACAGTCTCTTGGGAGTTGGCCACCTCTGATCTAGTCCAACACCCAGCATGCAGCTGTCCCATAGAAGGATCAAACCTGCAACCTTGACATGCTCAGACCATGCTCTAACCAACTTAGCTATCCCCCTCCAGACTGGTTCTCCAATATCCTGGAAATCAAGAATCATAATGCTGCATGTCTTTGCCAAAGGTTGCTGTCTCTCCATATGTCCAGTGTGTTAAACTTCTGCTATGTAGTCAGTGGACAGAGTCAGCCTCACAATCCAGTCTAGTTTAGAATCAGAGCTGTAAGAGCGAATTCAGGAATGCAGGGTTCTGAACTCAGTAACTGCAACATCAAAGTCCTATTCAAGTCTTATCAGAGTGATCAATTGCCATTCTTCTGTGGCTTGGCCCTGTATTTATCCAGTAACACTGGCTGGATCTGATTGCTCTCTGGATTACTGAATCTGGTCTGGGGACTACTATCAACATGTGGTACTGGATCTGAATTTTTACCAGAGCAGGATGGGAAGCAATCATGGGGAAGTAGTAAGCAATTAGTCCCACTGAAGGAATGCACAGGCCATGCCTGTGAGCAAGATAAAAATGAATCTAAATATGCAAGATGT